AGGGCACAGTGGATGAGGCATCAGAAGGATGCCACAGGAGTCTTGCTCTCCTAAAAGCTGGCTTGTCACATACAAATCATCTGCCCAGAGATGTTGTGGCTTCCCCATCTCTGGCAGTGTTCGAGGCCAGGATGGACGGGTCTTGGAGCAACCTGCTCTAGTGGAAGGAGTCCCTGCCCATGGCAGGGGGTTGGAACTGGATGAGCTTTAGGGTCGCTTCCAACACAAACCATTCTGTCATTCTAGGATCAAAAAGATCAAAGGGTTCAGAGAGAAGCACATCCAAGTTCAATATGCAAACCTACACATGCAAAAATACCGTGTCTGATTATGTGCTTACTTATGACTTTATGCACAAGGTGGGCTCTGCACTTTGCTCCAGGCAGCCTCCCTTTTCCCAGTCCAAGCATGGAAACATGCTTGCAGGACAGAAGAAAACCATGATTTTACCCAGCCTTAGCTGAATTTGAAACTTGTGGGACCAAGTGACTGAGCATAAATAACAGACTAGTGACCAAAACAGATAGACTGGTCTATGCTATACTGTTCATTCCTTCTTTCCTCTGCATAGGATATTCACAGCTTCACCATTACTTAATCTATTCCTTTGAGAAGATACACATATTATGTGCACAACACCTGTAGTCTGCTGTTCTGCTGTGTTGGCTCCCTGCATACAGCCATACCTAGTTTCTGGTAGGGACTCTGACTAAAGCCAGCTTAATGCTTATTTTGATGCACACAGGGAGCATCATTTGCAGCACACTGGTAGCATGTAAGTCTTGCAACGTAGGTAGGCACATGTGCTTGGCAGCTGGAACAGAAGGAATGTTAAGACTTGATCTGTTTCCATTTAAGGCTTTTTAGTCACTGACTTCAGACAGAGCAGGATTTGGACCTGAGAGCAGATTCAGTCTGGGTGTTTGCTGCTTGCCTACTGATCTCAAGCCAATATTGTCTGTGCTGGTGCAGAAGCCTGGTGGGGGGGAGGGGAAAAAGGGGGGAATAATTAGCAGTGCTTATTAAAAGCTATGGCGATTACTCATTAGAGCTGCTGCTGACCACCCTGCTTCCACAGCATGAGCTCTGGAGTGGTGGGCAGGGGGATGGGAAGGAGAAGTAAATGGGGGTCTCCATCACTCTGGTGTTCCAGTGACCGTCTCTTTTCCAGAAGACGGATGTTGCGCTCTAAGTACCTCTCCAGAGAGCTAATGGCCGACATGGCATTATTACCAGCCTGCAATGAGCTCCATTTTTTCCTTTATGATAGTAATTTGTTACACCGGTTTGCCACATGCCCGCTGCTTCCTTGTTAATCCAATAATCTATATGAGAAAAGCAATTTGACATTCCTCCTTCCCATCTGCCACCCATCACCCAATCTATATCTTAACTATCAGTGATTTATTAATGGTGTCTGCATTAAGTACATCTCCGCTTCATTGGCGCCCTCAATTCCCTCCCTCCTAGAGACACTCTCTCTGGTTACGTTTAGAGAGCAGAGTCAGCATGGAGATGAAAACCAACAACACAAGCAACCAAGCCAAGGGATTTTGGGAGCTTTGGTCAAATAATCCATGTGCTCCCAGGTGAAGGAATCCAACAGCCCAAAGCCCATTCAGCTGAGACTGAAGTGCATGCTCAGCCTCCCTGCTCCTTGCAAAGCATGATGCATCAGGCAATGAAGTTTATGCCTGTACCCTCTTTGCCAGCATCAGTTTGCACACAGTGTGGGTCAGTGTTCAGTGGCTGTTAGAAGGGGCTTTTGAATGGGCTTATTCTGGTTGGGCAATGCTTCAAAAGGGTAAACCAACCAGATCCATGATGTGCAGAAATAGTGAAGTACAGCATCCAATATCCCAGATTCCTTAAAGTGTGGAAAGAGTGGGTTTGTTAGCCTTTCTGCCAGTGGTAGAATGAACAGCTCAGCCTTTATGTGATCAACCTATTTTCACAACGCTTGTATAAGCACTGTACCTTCAGCACCTTCAGCAAAGTTGGTTTGAAATCAGTCAATGAGCTCAAAAGCTATTGGAGGTGAAGGGCATCTGAGAGGCTAACATACACACAGACAGATGCACTCCTGTATGCTTACAAAGGCCTTGTTTCCTTAGAAACCATGCTAAAAATCTACTGGCAATATTTCAGCCTGCTTGCCAGTATCAGTGAGGAGCTCAGGGACTACTTGAGCCCTGCAAAATGAAATTCTCTTTTCCTTTCTAAGGAATTCTCTCCCTGAAATTAGGTTTGGGAAGCACTGATTCTCACCCAGCTTGAAGCTGTGCTCCACCTGCATGGGTTGCAGGACTGGCATTCCCGGTCAGTCTACCTTTCATTCCCAAAATCCAGCCAGTGCCCTGGCATATGCTGGCTGGGCACTGCAAACAGGTTTCATTGCTTCAATTACTCCCCATACAGCAATTGCGTACGCATTTACAATACAGCTCAGCAGCTTGCTGTATTTCCATGTATGCAAACCCACTGCTAAATGACTTTTAATTTAACTCATGGGGGAAAGACAAAAAAGAATGTTTGGGTTTACATCAAGGTTCATCATGCACATCTTTCCTGCCATGCTCCTGGAGATTTAAAGATACAGAATGCAGAAACCAGATCTTGAGGACTGTGTAATTTAACGCTACCAGATTTGGTCACGTTAAACTGTCTGTTATACAGGAAGTTCCTACTGCAGGTTGGATACAGCACATTTAGACAGCATGGGGTGTGGACAACATGGCAGCTGATACCTTTAGGTCATTTTAGCCAAAGAGCTCTTTTTCAAAGGCCTTCATTTATTTAAAATAACCTAGCAGAACCTTTTCTGTAGTTACTGCTATTTTTAAGTTCCAGGGAAAAAAGTAATTAAAGAACAGAATGCCACGAGGAGAGCCAGATTCCCAGGGAACAGTGACAACGTGGAAATTAAACAGTTAGAAGTAAAACTGAAATGGATTTCATTGCTTTTTGAAGCCAAATGCAAAGAATGGGCAAACAGCATCCACCTGCTCTAGATGCACAGGGGCAGAAGATGACCTGAGCCAGGTGGGGAGAATGCACTGTCTGAGCTGTCAAGTTGCCCTCCGAGATAGCTGGCACTACCTGGCCTGTTCCCACCCAGTTTTTTTACTGGCACAAGAATCATAGAGTGGTTTGGAAGGGACCTTAAAGCTCATCCAGTTCCAAGCCCCTGACATAGGCAGGGACTCCTTCCACTGGACCAGGTTGCTCCAAGCCCCTTCCAACCTGGCCTTGAGCACTGCCAGGGATGGGGCAGCCACAGCTTCTCTGGGCACCCTGTGCCAGCACCTCAGCACCCTCACAGGGAAGAACTTCTTATATACAACCTAAATATACCCTCTTTCAGTTTAAAGCAATTCACCCTTATCACTACCTGCCCTTGTAAAAACTCCCTCTCCAGATATCTTGTATGTCCCCTTTAAGTCCTCCTTAGCCTAAAGGCTAAGGCTAACTGGAGAAAGTTTAGATTCACCAAGGTCTGTGGTGACTGACTTGGAGGTCCCACAAAGCCATTCTTACCTAGCCTTGTGTTGCTCCATTGAGCAGTATTTAGCTTACTTGTGAATGTTTGCTTCCTGTTGCTGGTGAGCTGTGGTTGAGATGCTGCTCTTCCCACTGCTCGGCTCCCCAGCCATTCCTCAGGAAGCCAGTCTTAATAGTGTTGAAGGCTCCCAAGGTGATTTTTGTTTTGCTGCTAGCATTCCCTAAGGCTGGGATTTTCACTGGAGTTTTAGAACATCAGTTAACCCACAATTATCAAATGTCAGTATCATTTGGACTAATATCTCTTTTAGGGGTAATGAAAAATCTTGGGATAAACAGGCTGTGAAGAACTCAGGTATAGAGTAACCCTTAGGAACTGGGTGATCTAGTTTGAGGTTTTTCCACTGTTTGATGTCTCAGTGTAGTGTCAAGGGGCCCTGAAGAACTTTAGGGTTTTAGCATAGCATCATGCAATGACTGTACTGGATCTCAAAAGTGCCATCACTGATTCAAATAACTTAGCACATAATTCAGAATGAGGCAAGACCGAATGGTTTTGGTAAATAAACTATTTCTTGATAATCGTAAAGTCAGCCATGGCCATGCAATAATTACAACTAAATCTGCTGGAGAGGCAAAAATGGGTTTGGTTTTGGCTTTGGTTTGGTTTGTGTTTTTTTTGTTTTCCTGTTAGTTTCATTGTTAAAGGAGTAAGAAGCCAAATTCCTAAACTGGATGATGATGAGGAAGGGCCCATGTTAACCCAGATGTCAATGCTGGAGACACAGGCTCTATCCCTGCCTCTGCCTCATCAGCTTGAAATTGTATTTCTCCCCCAGATTTTCTGGGGCAAACCTCTTTTATTCCCTCCTGCTGGAGCTGTTCCACTTTCTATAACATATTTCAATCCTTTTTGTATGGCTTTAATAAAGAGGTTGGTTACATGCATTGCATGTGTAGTACGAAGCAGAGCAATGTGACGATTGACCTTAACTTACATAAGAAGCTCCTATAGAAGAGGAGGTAGATGTAAAATGGAGAAACCTGAATATTTCACAGTTCCATCAGCTGGAGAAAGCGGCCCCTCTGTGCTTTGTGTTTTTTATCAGTGCACTGTTGAATAAAGCAAAGTCTGCCTCTAGTCTTTTATTCCCATCATTTGTTGCTATTACATTCACTGAAAATGGAAGGGACCGTTTCCTTTTGAATTGAGTGAGATGTTTCCTTTGAGCCAAAGTAAGGGGAAAAAAAGGAGTTTGTTTGTTTGTTTGTTCATTGATTTGGCAAGGAAAGTTCCCCCAAGCATGTGAATTTTGGCTCGGATCAGAACTATTACAATGTTTTGTCTTCTTCTTTTTCATGTTCATCTGTCAAACAGCAACAGTAATTCTCTACACAGGCCTGCTGAAAATGAGAAGCAGTAGCTCAGGGTACCAAATGACTGGATAAGTGAGGATGTGATTGCACGATAGGATGGGTTTGGCTATTCAGACCAGTGGTGCTACTTCATCTGAAGAGAGGAAGGCTGAGTTGTATGGAAGCAATTCTGCTCTCCTCTCCCTCCTCCTCCCCATAGACATTGCTTGTAGCCTCTGCCACACTCCTTTCTGGAAACACAAGCATTTTGAGAATGGCATGACATCGCTTCTCCAGTTGATGACTTACACATGAGAGGAATAAACTGCCATCAAAAAATCTCTGCAGGAACAATCCTGGCAACCAGTTCATAAAGGGTCCTATAGGCAAAGATGGGAAGCACATCACTGGTGTATGATCCTGAAAAACTGCAAGAACAATCTATATATTTGCTCTGGGCATCCCCTTAGGCTCCTGTGTCTTAATGGCACAATCTTAAATCAAGCTAATGCTAGAAGAGGAGCAGAGAACAGGGAGTGGAGGCAGAAAACTCTAGCTGAAGCTAGACACTGGCTTCATGTATCCCCCCCTACTCCAGACAATAGCTGTTTGCATGTCTGGTAACCATTACAAATTGGGGCTTTTGATAAACCAGTGTTTTGGGACCTGGGTTTTGCTGATTTCTCTCTCACAGAACAGCTCTTTAGCAAATATTCCAGAGGAATCATTGAAATCTTTATATAACTGTCTCTATCTGCAGCCTTACATTAGGAAAATATGAGAAGTCAGCATTTTGTATTGTAAGACTGTCTGGTGCTGAGTATTTCACGAGTTGCAGAGAGGCAAGGTGATGGATTATTTGCCCTTGCTGCTGTGTATAGAGGAGCTCATTTGGCAGTACCATAGGAAGAAAGATTTCACTAATGGCTGCAGAACACACAAGTGGAAGCTGAGAATTGGGGTGGAGGAAAAGAATGGAAGGAAGGAGGTTAATCTCATATTTGTAGCTTTGTAGACCTCAGGAATTACCTTGTTAGATCCGAAGTTATTTCTCTGTAATAATCTGCTTGTGGTGTGTTTTCTCTCCCAAGGAATGTTAAGAGTGTGTAACACTCTTACCATTAAATGTGAAATAACAGTGTTGGAAAGATAATGGTTTGACAACAGCCAAGCTGCCCCAGGCTGCCATTTGTTTTGCATATTACTCTAGAAGGTGACTGCAACTTTGTGCAGTGGAAGATTCAGTGGCAGATGTGATTCTAATCAGAGAAGTTAATATTTTCCTTTGTACTTTCTAAAATAAAAAATAAAATAAATAGAAAAAAATCTCAAAAATATATTTTGCCTGTTTGTACTGAAAACATTTCTGTGTTTGATGAAAGTCTCTAAGGAAAAAAACCCAAACCCAAGCCCCTAGTAATTCATAACGCTGTAAAAGTGTTTCCAGAGAAAACTATAATAGTTTCTGACTAGCTTTAGTGAGTATGTATTTTCTTATTAAAATCTCCATCTCTTTGCATTCCTGCTGCTTATTTGACAGTGTCTGCTTGTCTTTCCTCTACTCGCTCGTCACCATTTCACAGTCTCTCTTTGTAGTCTACAATTCCTAGTTTTAATTGGAATATTCTTCTTTCCAATCCCTGCACCTTTTCTGCATCACAATTCTTAGGTGGAAGATGATCCTAATAATCTCTGAGTTGGAGCTGAACGCTATACCCATGGTATAGCTGGGTTGTTCTGAGCTAGCTAAAACCTATTAGAAAGAAAAAGAGGTAGACATATGACACAGTTGAATATTTTACCTGATTTGTATAAGTGGAAGGGAGATGCAACAGCTTCAGCTAAAATACAGTTCATATTTCTCTCCTTTAATAAGGACTAGAGTTTGCTATATGGGATAATATATCTATTTTTAATATATTTATAGCCTTATAATGAGCACTTGGCATTCCATTGCTTTTCTTGCCCAAAAATGCTGCAGTGAAACAACTTGAAAGATGATGGAATAAAGGAGGTGGAAAGGCACTTCTGGAGGTTTCTAGAACCAGCTCCTGCTCCAAGTCAGACCAGGTTGCTCAGGTCATCACCCAGGTGAGGTATGAGTATCTCCATGGGTAGAGATTACACCACTTCTCTTTGTGCACCTGCAAGCAATCTGTTGGGACAAAGCAGAAGACTCCTTGGTTTGTAAACATGGCCTAAACAGGAGGACTGCAGCTGCATTGGGCTATGCCTTGGTCTCTTATTTTGTTGTATTGTGCTCATGCCCTCTCCATCACTCAGCTTGAAGCAAATCAGAGAAGCAGTTCAGAAATTCTTTGCAATGATGATGGTAAAACACTGGCACAGGCAGCCCACAGAGGTGGTGGATGCATCATCCCTGGACACATCCAAGGCCAGGCTGGATGTGGTTCTGGACAACCTGATCTAGATGAAGATGTCCCTGACCATGACAGAGGGGTTGAACTAGATGTCCTTTGAAGGTCCCTTCCGACCCAAACCATTCTATGATTCCATGATTTCAGCATTTCACTACTGCATAAGTGTCATTCAAATCTGAATTAAATAGGTGCACCTAATGTGATCCTGTGCAGCAGTCTTCAGAAAGAAAGGAGAAGAAATACTCTTGTTGAACCTGTCAGATGGATTATAATGAGCTATGAGACCTCACACCCTGAGGTGCCAGAGGGTGACATAAGGCAAGGAAGAAATCATGAGGGAAAAAATCTTTGGTTGGTCTGCATTTTGTGGGCTGGGAAAAACAGCAGCATCCAGGAAGGGTGGATGGCTGGGATGCTTCTGGCTTCAACCACAGCCCTTTCACCTTGTAAGTGCAAGCCCTTGTACTGTTTTCCATTTGGGTCACCACTTATATCATGCACTGAAACAGAGCTCTGTAGCATCCACAGTGGACAGATGTGCTGCTGCCCAAAAAGCAGTGTGCTTTGCTACCCTAGTGAGGCCAGAGGTCTCAACGCACAGACCCAGCACTTGTGGACAACTCAGCGATCTCCATCAAGCCATGGGCTCTCCATCTGGGGAAGCCTTCAGGATCAGGGCCCAGCTTTACCGTATGGACATCTGTGACTTCTACTTTACATCCAACTGAAATACCCTTAGCACGCTATGGAAAAAAATGGCCTTGTCAGAGTTGAGTAATGGAGAAGAGATTTAACAGTCTGGCCACCTTCTTCTCTTCTGGTACAACTTTAAATCGGGAGTAATAACCAAATGATACATGTTGAAAATGGTGAGGTCTAGAAATACATGAAACATGGGAAATAAAACCTGAAACGGAGTAAAATTTGACTAGTTTCAGCTGCCGGTACAGGCTTAAAACTCAGGTAGGGCTCATTAGGAAGTTCATCTGACCTTTCTGACTGAACCCAAGGCTGATTTAATGTTTGATCCATACAGAACACCTTTTTTCTTCTTTTTTTTCACCTACATGAAATCTCACTGATTATGACTGGAAGCTCCTAAGTTTGTTCAAACCCCAAGTTCAAAGCAAGTTCAAAGTACAGGAAGCATGTAGCCACAGAAATGGAAATAGTTGACTTTTGAATCCATGAGATCAGAGCGGCTGGGATTTGCACTTTGCTGAAGCTGCCTGAGCCAAATGCTCTGAAAAGATGAGTTAAATCCTGACACATAGAGAAGAATGAAGGAGGCCCTGGCTTTGGCCTTGATCTTTGGCAAAGATGGATGGCTTTCTTAAATGGTTTTGCAATACAGGTGAATTCTATCCACTAAACACTTGGGTAGAGACTGATGTGCAATACACTAGAAATGGGTAAATCAGTGAATAGAAGAGAAAAAAAGCACTTTGACTGTTTAGCCTTTAAGCAGAAGTATGGTAAGGCTAGGAGAGGTCTAGCTCCATGAAATGTCTAGTCAGGACTTGTATCTCACTGAAAGTCTAAGCAACACTGCAATCTGTTGTATGAAGCTTCCAAGCTTACACTGTGGAGCAGTGAAGAAATAAAAAAGTTGCCTTAGAAAGATGTGAAGGTAAAGGCAGAAAATGTGCACCACCGTTGCTAGTGGGAGTGAGTAAAACAGGTGTTTGGGTGCAAGACTCTTCCCATTTGGAGGAGCTATAAAAACAAGCAGCTGAAGAAGGAAAAGTCTTATGAATCCTTTCCCCCTCTTCCAAAAATACTTGATGTTTATACCTACTCTAGCACCAAGTATAGAAGCTTCAGTGTTGCAATCTGCAGCTCCCTCTCCTATGTTGAATTTCAGGCTGAGGCTTCCCTTTAGCTCCCATGTACTCTTCTTGGTACTGGAAAATGGGAGCTGGGACACCATTGCATTGATAGGTCTGCTTCTTGCTAGTTTGTCCTGAGAAAAGCTTGTGGGAAAGACATGAATGCAATGCTGGCTGGAGACACACAGCACAAAGGTACTGAGCAATAGCAAGTCCCATCAGAAGAAAAGTTAAAAAGGAGAGAGGAATATGAAGTGAGATAGAAATGGACCTGGGGAAGATCCAGTTCCAAAGACTGCAAAGGTCCATCTGTATCATCTTGCCTGATGCAATTCCCAGCAGCAGACATGGAGGCGCATCCAGCAACCACCCTGCCAGATCCAGACATACATGACTGAACACAAGTGTATGGTTTTGAAAAGTTCTCATCATGTAGTTTAACACGGGCTTGGCTCTGACAACCTGTAGATCTGTCTGTCATCACAGATATGGGACGACACTGTACTGTGAGCTAATGTGACACATTGTGATAGGTAGCTGTGACTTCTTGTGATGAGTGTTGTCTGAACTTGAGCAAGAAAGGCGAAATGTTAAGGAAAGGAGCTTGCTTACTCATCATTTTGTATGGTTTGGTGGTTAAATGATGGTGTTTTCTCCTCAAGCTTTTCAGGTTCTCTTCTGTCTGACTCGATTGCTTTATTCATCGTAGTGCAATCGGCAATTAGGCAGTGCTGCCTACAGCATTACCTCATTGTCTCAAGGGATTAGAAGCAAAGGGGTAAATTACAGTCATCTCCTAGTACACTTCAGTGTATATTTCTGGGGCTCTGCAGGTCTCGGCAGCCCCTTTCAACTCATACAAACCCCAACAAGCTCTCATGCTCTGATATAACACACTGGATCTGTCTTTGGTTGCAGCACAGAAAACTTTTTTGGGGTGCTTTAAAGGTGGTAGAACAGAGATTGTGGACACAAGTAAAAAAAGTTGGTTTTAGTGCCCCAGGCAAAGGTTTTATGACTGTAAGCTGCTGCTCCCCTCACTTTGGGTCACATCTATACTTGCTAAACAGTATTCATGTCTGCCATCCAGCACTTGCTTATTCTTCTGGTCCTGCTGGCTATTCAATCAGAGAGATGCTCCTCGTGCCCTAGGAGCAGAACGCTCACTCTGGAATGAAGAAGAATAATGTTGGCTCTTCTCCTGCTTGTGCTCTGCCTCCATTTCCCTCCTGCTGCTTCTGAACCCTCTGACCCTTTCAAAGGCAGCCCAGCAGTCTGCTCCATCTTTTATTGAATTGAATTGCAAATCTGGAGGGGCCGCAGTGGGAGCAAGCCATCCGTTTCAATTCCGCCTCTCTGTTGTTCCTCCCATGGGACCAGGGTAGACCCTCAGGAAATGCAGTCAGCATTTGTTGATTGAGCCCTCTGGTGAGATTAACTTCTTGTTTGGTAAGAAGTCATTCATATGGTCCCAGTTGTGTTTGGTCCACCCATAAGACAGAATCTGTGGAGCTCTGCATTCCCATAGTGACTCATGGACTGTCTCATCCTGTCAGCAGAGCTGCTGGAGAGCTTGACTTGCCATCTCTGCTGCCCATTAGGAAAAATGAGGCAGTAGCAAGCAGGAAACTTAGGACAACCTACCTGTCCTACTTTCCTCCCTCCCTACTGTATGACAAGAACACTTCTGACATGAGCACCCTTCAGCAAATTGCCTTTCTGCTGAGGAACCATGGAAGATGGATGACCAATAGGAGGGGCACATGCTGCAGGGAATTACAGTGCCCTGATCCTCAGGAAACCAGCATGGACCACAGCCCCAGGGTCTGTGTCCTTACTTACAGTGACTAATTCTCCATCTGAGTGCCAGAGGTGAGGGGTCAGAGGAGAGGTCAGAGTGGGTCACAGATCAGTGGAGGGAATACAAATCAAGAAGAAACCCTTGGCCTTTCAGGTTGGTTTGTATTAGCAGTTGGATCTATCTTTTTTTGAGCTCCAGCCTTGATCACCCTTTGGAGTAAACTGCCTGCCTCTGAGCAGCTGCAGAAAAGCAGTTCAGAAGATGGCAGCCACACAGCTTTTATGCTTGACATCGGTCTGCAGTGACCCTGTGACAGCAGAATTTCACTGCTGTGTCTACCTGAGGCTGCTCCTGCTCCCACTGGCTTCAGTGACAAAGCTCCCAGCCTTTTCAAGCCATGCAAGACTTGCAATGAATTGCAACATGTCATTAGGGTGGGTAGCTCAAAGCTCTCCGCTGTGCTGTGCTGGGTGGCACATCAACCTTGGTGTGGCACCCTGCATTCATCTTGTATGAGCCACCAATGTTCCCTTCAGTGCACTGTGGTTATAGGGTTACTTAATACCATTCCCTTCCACCACTACTGCTGTCCCAAGGGTGCTTGTTACTGACTCTCAGGGTATGGAGAATGAAGGGGAAAGAATTTAGTTCCTCACACTGTGTCTCAACCTTGCTGTGTCTATGAACGTTTGATTCTTTGTCTTTCAGTGATGATAGCAAGTGAACCTGCAATCCTGTTTCAAAACTAGGAGCTGTTTGGTGCTTTTTATATGTTTGGAAGGTCTTTCTAAAGAAGAGTACTTCCAATCTTGGGTACTTCCGTGCCATGAGCACAGCCCTAACTGTGACTGTCGTGAAAGCAACAGTTCAATTTTAACAGCAGATCTGGAGGCTTTAAAATTAGGTTTGATTTCAAAACAGAAATTCAAAAGGGGCCTTCTGGTTATTTCTTGATAGTGCTTTTGTCTTCATCTGACCAGTAGCTCAGTGGGACTGGCATGTCCTGATGTGGGTGGCTGCTCCCTTGCCATGTTGCAGCACGCTCTGCAGGAAGGAAATGTGGTGCCTTGCTTTGCTTTTCTTGTTTGTGGTTCCTTCTGAGGAACCCCTTCTCTCCTTTCAGGTGTGTTTGATTTGGTGGGTTTCAGAGGTGCTAGGTGGGTTTTTTCCAGTCCCTTGGGCAAAGATGTCTGGCCTTGGTGGAAAAAATGTTCAAAGACTTTGATGCGGACCAGGAGTTGCATGTTTTGGCTTAGTAGGGGAATGTGTTCTAGCTGTGGAGAAGAGAATTGGTTGTAAAAACCATATGGCACGTCTCTGTGTGAGCAAGGCAGTTGTTACGTTGACAAACTCAGCCTTGCTGACAAAATGGCTATGGAGCATATTACTGTACAGTGTATGCTTTATCTTGCTGTAGGTTTCCCTGTAGCTACTATTAGAAGTTACCATCTTTAGTATCCCTCTTGTCTCACATCTGGTGAGAAACAGTAAGGTCAACAGTCCTTGGTGGTACCAATGATTCAGCAAGCCCACTTTTTTTGTCTTGACAATGGCCAATATATGTCAGAAGGCTTCCCTGAAACAAAGGAAAGAGAAATCTCTTTATAGGCTGTATGTTGTTACTTAGAATATTCATAGAATCATACAATCATAGAATGGTTTGGGTTGGAAGGGACCTTTAAAGGTCATCTAATCCAACCCCTCTGCAGTGAGTAGGGACATCTTCAATTAGATCAGGTTGCTCTGACCTTGAATGAATGGATGAGGCACCTATCACCTCGCTGGCAACCTATTCCAGTGTTTCACCACTATTACCTTCTTTGGTTGTGGAGTAAACACTTCTAGTTGAGCTGCAAAAAAACCCCAGACCGCCTCAGGAAAAGGTGGCCTTGTGCCCAGGAATGTGATGGTTTCCATGGCAGTAGATTAAAATGGGATGTCTAGGGCCAAATCAGATCCCAACAAGCTCCAAAAGGTATCTGGGGCATTGGTGCCCACTACAGTCTGTGAGCACAGCACCATGTTTCTTTGCTTAGCTGTGAAATAGAAATTGATTCTGCAGCTTCTTAGGGTTCTACATTGAAAAGATGCTGCAGCACTGATTAACTCAGTCAGTATTGCTGGAAAAACAAAACCCTGTTGAATTTACTGGTGAAGGTTGGGCTTTCATAGGGAGAGCAGGGTAGAGCTAGTCCTTGAGTTATGGCAGCTCCTCCGTGTCTTCTCTTTAGAGGCTTGTCATGACTCTCAGCAGGGGAATGTGGGAAAAGGGAGTTTGGGAATTATTTGGGCCTATATGCTTTGATACAGGGATTGGAAATTGAATCCTTTTACTGAGTGCAGGTTTTTGCATGAGACTAAATGGAAACTTGAGAGAGAGGCATTGGGTTGGGAATGTCAGTCTGTTTTCATTAGACATCTCTCTGCTTTGGACATCTGCAAAGCGAAGCAGCTTCAATACTGGGCAGCCAACAGCAAATCATCTATGTGGTTTTTTGAGGAGCAGTAACAGTAGGAATTGCTTATTTGGAGATATTTTAGCATGCCTGATGCAATCTATCTTCTTTTCCAACTGTAGGTTGGTGAGATGACTGATTCAGGAAGAAAACTGGGTTTTAACAAGAAACCTGGTTCTAGTCTGACTTCTTATTCAGTACCCTGCTGGGTATTTCTTTTCTGCACAGCTTCACACAGAAAAAGGTAACAAGACTGCTGCAGTCTCTGGCGTAAGTCTTACTCATGACTTTAATGAAAGTAGGAGTTTTACAATCCCTTCCTAGCCAGGCTGCTTTGGTTGGTGTCCAGAAAGTAACTCCAAACTATGTATCAACAGCTTGGGCTATTTTTTAACAACATCTTTTTTATATTAATAATTTATGTGCCTAAAAATTTCCCTGTCATTCTTCCCCTCAGAATTGGATTTCTTTTATTAGCTCCCTGTCGAGCAGATCATGTTTTGATTTGGGGAGAGATTAGTTATTCCTTGATGAGAGCTGAGATGGGAATTTCTGGGAACATCACCACATTTCTTACCAGCAGTTGGATGCATTTGGCTGAGCTGACGCTGGATGACATTTTCACTCCAGTGTAAGACAGCACATGTGGTTGAATGCTGGTGTCCTGCCGTGTGGTAGAACATAACCTAAGAACTGACGCCTTGGCACTGCTAGCAAGATTGTCTTGTTCATTTTTGTTTCAGAATGGCGAGTTGTAAAGACTGGGGGAAGAGTAAAAGGAAGCGAACAAGTAGTGAGCGATCTTTCCTAAGCACAGCTTCCCAACTCCCAGCCAGTAGCAGATAAGGAAATTCAAAGCCACAGATAGACTGTAATGGTGCATCACCATCAGCAGTGAACCTATCTATTCCATTTCTGAATCCATTTCTACTCCTGTTCCGAGTAACTTCTAGTAATAATAAGATGTAAATGTATTTATAAATTAATTAACACCAGGTGACAGAACTACTTCTATCTAACCCTGTCAATTCTGATGGTTATTGGGTGAAGCAACAACTAATTGTTCCTTAAGTACCCCTGGCTTGTAAGGCTTGTTGGTGATGGTTTATCTTTAATGACTTAAATTACGAGCTGTTATTCAGGCTTTTGTTGTGCTATTTTCCTAGATGGTCTCAGTTCAGCAGGGTCAGTATTTGGCTGCAAACTCACTCCTCACTGGAACAAACTGTGTGTAAGCTTCCAGCTCTAAAAACCTTAACTGGAAGGATCTTTACATGCCCGTTGCTATCAGTGTGTCTCTTTGCCTGTCTTTTCCATTTGCTTTCCTTTTGTGAGGAAGCAGGGAGCTGTCTCATTTCCCTTCAGAGCCAAGCACCCCTGCCACACATCACTGCTCATGGTGACTGCAGCAACGGTGATGGAATCCCTCTGACTGGCACCAGTGTGTCTCTTGGGACAGGGAGTTCACCTGAAGACCCCAGGCAGTAACGTGAAATAGGAGCATGAGCTATTTCACGTTGTGAGTCCCGTAAGACACCATAACGACACTTTAAGCTCAGAACATGTATTTTATATATTGTCAATGAGACCATTTTGGTTGTGTGATAAAGTAGCTTGGTTTGCAGTAATCAATGAGGAAAACTGAAATTGTTTCACTGATGATTTTGATTAAATTAGTTTTCAGTTTTTCTCTTTTCACTGAGATTTTCTATTAGATCACCTGACAGCAGTTCCTGATGCCACCAAGTTGAATCTCTACCTTCCCATCATAATTCCTTGTATATTGAATCCAAACTTTTGGGTAACTTCCATTATATTGGTTTTCCTCCCTCCCTTGCCCCGCTGTCTGCTCACAGCTGAAAGAAACACAAATACAGACTAACAATTTCCAAAGCAGCCAAGTCCCCTGAGCCTAAGCTGCATTCAAGGCCAGTGTGATGAGTGCCAGGTCTAAACACAACCAAAGCAGGCAGTTGCCTAGGGCAGCAGACTGCTGGTGGCAGCAAAACAGTCATTGTTCCTCTGCCTATTTTTCTGCATCAGAGCCATGGAGGCTGAGCTGCCTGCTACTGCCAAGCATGTGGGCCAAGGCGTGTGAGCCAGTGGCTGTGCCTCCATGTGCACTGCCTCCCTGGGAGCAGCAATGACAGCCCATCCTCCTCCTGCTGCCCTGCCATCCTCTGGCACCCCTGAGGGTGGCAGCTCTCCCAGCTCCAGTTCTGCCCTCTGCTTGCCACCCTTTTTGCTTCTCCATCAGGTGGCAAAATTGAACTTCATTTACACCAGTAAAGGGCTTTGAAGAGGCTCTGCAGGAGGTTCAGCTGTGTAAGGTCTGCCTTGCTTTTACAAATGAGATTTAGGTTCTTCAGTCACTCATAACCTTGAAAAACATTACTACAGAGGGGGCATTCCTGCATTTCTCTATCTACATATAAGTCATTTGAATACTTGTGAGGCATGACCTCTGCACTTTTTTTCCACTTGGATCCATGTGTACATTTGTGGATGTTTGGCTGATGGGAGGAATATATTCTTTTACATGTTTTACATGTGCATTTGTGCACAAGGATGATCTTTACCAAGTCTGTGCTTATTTAATCGTGTGTGATGACAGTTTACATAGAAGGTTTAAAACATATATTCTGGGTATGTATTCTGAAATGCATTGGGGAAAGAGCCTCTGTGTAGCTGAGTTTTGCTTAGTTCAGAGAACTGAGGTGCAGCTCTGGCTCTTGCACTCTGTATTGCCTGCTCCTACTGAATGGGGGAGCAGATCCAACTCCTGACAGGGACTCTAAGGCATCACATGCCGGACAAAGAGGGGGCCACTGTGGTTGGATACTGCAGTACCACTGGCACGTTGCCTGGGCTGGACCTAATAAGGATGATGCTGGCATATAAGGCAGCTATAGAGTCTTCTCCAGATGAGAGTCTCCCTGTTCCAAGAGATACTTGAGGTAAATACTTCTAGACAGAGTACTATTACTCATGTCACCTGCATGGTAGTCAGTGGCCACAGTAGGGATGTGCATAGCTACACAACATGGGCCCTGTTTGGTGCCTGTGAATGACAAGTGATGCTGCAGTTCAACACCACCGTTTCCCTGCTGCACAAAAGATGTCCTCCCACTTCTGTGCTGCACTGGTGGGGTCCGCAAGTGTGGACATGGTGGGCAGAATGTGCATGGGGAGCGGCATGGGCCAGCTTTTTGTCTGTGTTGCTTTGTGGGGTGGTCCATACATTATGTGCGTGCTGACAGTGGGAGTGTGGACACAGTGCCTGCAAGGCACTAATCTGGGCAGTAAGAGGATTACATGCTTGGTGTCATTTAGGTGGCAGGCATTGTGCAGTGTGTTGGGACACAGTAAAGGACAATAGCGAGTCAAATAGAAATGCTGTCACTGTGAATACAGCACAAGGCAGAGCTGTATCTTTGCTTCAGCCCTTCATGCTTCCCCCCAAGGCTCTTTTCCTCGCACTGTTTTCAGGGCAGGGAGGTCTTCACTTTGTTTGTTGACTGACCTCCCCATCCTCTGCCTGCAGTGCTGGAGAGAGATTAGCACAGATGAGAAAACACAGAGAAGAAACCTTCTGGAGCCAATAAGGGAAAGTCTGTGACAGGAGGAGCAAGCAGCAAG